GTGTGGGTGATCTGGAGGAAGAGCAATTCAGCGGCTCGTCCTTTCCCGTAGTAGTGCAGAATGTGATGCGATGCAGTGGGGAGGTGCTGCTGCTGCCGCTTCTCGTTATTACGGTGCGGGGAGGGGAAGTTCTCTGAGTTGTGGGGCATGCTGTCGGGTTACTGTTGTGAAGATTCATTCATTTTAGGTGCGAGCGTAGGTGGTCAGCCATCGGAAATGGCGCTCAAGCGGATTCAGAAGGTATTATTAATTCATCACGTGTTGACGAGGCGGCGCAGCGCTCAGAGAGTTGTTTTAGCGGTGGCTCATGGCACTCCCAGTACATGTGTTTTCCAGTCAGCTGCTACCCATTGGTTTGCGGTGAGAGTCGGCCATAGGCAAAGTGGTCAATGGATTTTCTGCCTTTCTACTCACGATGATGTTCGCACACCGTTCGCCTAGCCGTGTATTTTAGCGTCCTGTCACGAGGAAAGATCCATTACATTTCCAGCAGCCTCCGGTTGCCGATTCACCGATGTGTGCAGGGTATTGAGGAACCCTCAAGTGAATGTTGCACTGCTTTCTCAGTATGGAGTTGCCTAGGGACTCGATACTGCTTAATTCGTTGCTGCAGTCACATCATCAGAATTCTGTAGATCTCATATAAGGCTGATGGTGAATCGCTAACCCGGATGGGCGAGGGCCTGCTCAGAACCTCAGTTGTTTAGTGGATATCGTTGTGATACGATCTGAACCTCAAGGTGCATGTCAGTTCCAGTCATCACGAATTGGCCTACTTCTTAGCCTAGACTCCAATAAAAGCCTGAGAACCGTTGAGGTCTGCGTTAGCACTAGGCCAGTGATAACGATGAGCTCGATTCCGCACCAGTCGTTAAGTCTAAAAACAAAAGTGGGAGTTATGAACGCGAAACTTATATGGGGAGGAAAATAAAGAGAAGTGTATGGGCAAGTATGGCATTGGTAAGAGGGACGAGGAAGGTGACAGGTTAACTGCAGTGGCGGGGACGAACAGACCGCTGCTGGTACCTGGCTCCGCAAAGATGCAGGACGGTTATATAGGCTTTGTCAGACGCGAAAAAGAAGACTGAAACCAAATAGTTCGCGGTCGATGTTGGGCGTGTTATCGAGGATATCTCCGTAGTACTCTTCTCTGCTAGGAGTAGCGACCATCGCGTACTGCAAGCAAGAATACTTATAATCCCGGATAATAAAAGGATGCAGAGCCCGAAGTGCGAGACTGTGCCCACCCCTTCAACATATAGCGGCACTGTGCTGAAGGCAGTGATATGCGGGTGCGGGACGTAGTGGCTGATGGAGGTTGAGAAGCAGGCGCTGGTTGTGCCGGCGAAAGCGATGAAGCGAAGTGTGCGTGGTGTGTCTCTTAGTAAACAGTCAGACTGCCCGTCGGATGAGTGGCGTGTAGGGTAACCGCATGAGAAAAATCCGATGCACAAAGCACGCCATCAACACCTTGTGGATTGTCGATGAACGCTGCGCATCAGTGATCGGTTTTCGTGGGGAAGTAGATGACCAGCCTCCGAAGAAATGGCGCATACATACATTTTGCAAGCGGCGCGCACAGAGTGAAAGTACGCAGTGTGTTGCATCGGAGGTGCGGAGTGTCTCAGTAATATCATTATAGAAATGAGACGCTCTTGATATTCTTAGTATTGTTTGCCACAAATGGATGTGACAGTCCGTGTACCCAACAGGCTGCTGCATCGGACCGGGGCTTTGTGAGGCTTTCATTTGGTACGGGTTTCTTCACCAACTTAAAGGATTTGCAGTTCGTTTTTCCTCGCAATTTCGTTGAACGAAGAGGAGGAGGAGGATGGCAAAATGATTTTAAAGCTGTCACTATGAATCGCAGACGCTGGATGCCATTCTTTGTTGCTCCATGGATACTGCGCATGATTACGGATGGGAAGGCTCAGCCTGTGTTGTGCCATAACTCGTTTTGTCGTAGCATTTGCCGATGGCACTGCCCCAATATTAGTTGCGTATTGAGGCTGATGCACATGCTTTATGCTTAACTGTGAAAGCACGCTCAAAAAGATTGAAATCTCCCCTGCCTAACATAATTTTGCTTTTGCAAGTGCTGATTATATTGTTTCAGGAACTGCAGGATTTGGGCAGAGATCCCCCGGCACAGTGCAGCGCAGGGCCAGTTGGTGACGATCTTTTCCACTGGCAAGCCACCATTATGGGTCCCCCAGAGTCGCCATACCAGGGTGGCGTGTTTTTTTTGACAATTCACTTCCCAACAGACTATCCGTTCAAGCCACCAAAGGTAACATTTTTGGGGCACCGATTTTGCTTCTTGCAATTGCTCTGATGTTCGTCAGCTTTTACAAAAGTATCTTTCAAGTCATTGACGTCATTGAACTGATCTTTTTTTTCCCGTTTTATAAGAAATAATTTCATGCGTTTTTTGCATATTTGTGCAAATGCTAAAGCGCATATTGTCGAGAGGTTAGTCTATGTGTTTGTGTGTATATGTATGTATATGTGTACATATATATATATACGTGTACATATGCATACATATGTATATATCATGTTTAGATTTTTGTCACCTGTATCCAAAGCTGGAATTTAAAAA